GGTAAAGTGGGCCATTTTAACTTTGGGGGGGTTAAGTGAGATTTGACCGAAGTTTCAGGGGGTGCTACAGTAATTAAGCCTATTTATAACAATCAATCAACTTTGTCTTTTAACTTCTTGCTGCTTATTCCTTACGCTATCTTACCTTACTCCCAAGCATTGGAGAAGTTTACCACGCATATTTAGCAGGCAAGGTTATACTATTTTTTATCTGAATTTTTACATATGAGAGATTCACTATTATACCCAATATAAGAACTCAAATTATAAAAAACCATATATGAAATGGGCTTTAGAAACACACCCAAAGCTCATTTACAATATAACAAAAAGGCTTTTAACTTCTTTTAAATTACAAAACTGCCATTGATTTCTCAGAACAAATCCAATCCCAAAATATAATAAAAAAGCTCAAAACACTCAATAGGGCATCAAAGTAATTTAATAATCAAAATTAAATTCAATAGGGCCAACTATCATTTTTTGAGTTTGTTTATAGAAATTAAATGGTGTAGGATTTATTTATAATTTTAGTGCTAAGAATGGGTATATGACTAAATATCTTTTTTTGTATTAATTGCTCTTATGCCTTCCAATTTTTTTTGCAATGTAGGTTAGCATTGAAAATAACGGCAAGGGTGTATCAATTGATGTTGTGTAATACTTCCCTCTGAGTATGGATAAATTGACTTTGGTGAACCTGGAACAAATGGTCAGCACTTACCAACCAAGGTGATCTAAAGATGGCCACCTGATGAACTCTGGGTATTCATCCACTCTATGTCTTTATAGTATTTTTGTACTTCAAAATGATTCAATTGTCAATATTATTATGTTTTTAATGTCAATATTATTTGTTTTAATGTGTAACATTCATTGTATGTTAAATTACTCTATCGAATTATATTATTAGAGTGGATGTACAATTTCCTATTTTTTATTATATGTATATATATATTGGGTTATCTAATAGTTTTCTTTAATATTACACTTTTGTTTCTTGACGGCTAAAATCCGTCAAGAAAATAGCTCATAAATGTCAACAAAAGGTTTAAAAGCGTCAAAGTTGACTATATAAGTTGACAGTTTTCACAGAAACGTGACCCTTTTTAGCCGTCAAAAGAATCCTTTACTTGACGCTTAAAAAGCGTCAAGGAATAGGGTACCCTCCGGCACTCTTGACGGCTCCTTAGCCGTCACTTATTATGTTTCCTGACACTTTTTAGCCGTCAGTAAGCACTGTTTTTCTTGTAGAACTTGATTTCATGAGAATTTCAGATGCTTGAGGGTGTTTTGACTGGTATTGTGGACTTTTGTATTATAAAAGCTAATATGATGCAGTACACAATTGATGCATGCTTCATTTTTTATGTCAAATAGTTTAAGGTGTGCAATGCATGTTAAAGATTTTTCACTGGCTTGAAAACGTTGAATCCCATTGGTTTCAAGTAGTCACTACTACAAAAAGTGAAAAAAAACGACCAGAAAAAGATGACGGCATAACATAAAACCGTCGTTGTATTTAAAACGACGACGGTAACAAAAAAACCGTCGTGGATAAGTGCCTTAAACAACTAAAAAATGGAGGTACTGTTGAATATTTTTAAAAGACGACGCACACAAATAAAAAAGCGCCGTCTTTTTAAAAAGGTTTTCTTCAGAGTTAAAATCTGACCAAAAAACAACGACAGCAGGTATGAATCCACCGACGTAGAACATAAAGACGATAGTTCACCAAAAAACCTGCCGTGTTAACTCCTAACTAAACACGACCAACTGTTCTTAGTCCGCGTCGTATAATATAATGGAATCTACGGCTGTATACTACAACGGTGCCTTCTCTGTAAACCACCGTCTTAATTTATTTTCTTTTTAAGATTTAATTATTTTTTAATTTTGGTGGCCTACGAAAATTAAAATGAGATCCCAAGAGGTATGATATCTTACCATTGAGATCTTTGGATCCTGA